CAGATCAATGAAATAACAGTCTCTGTCCATCTGGTCAGTTTTGACATGGGCCTAGGTTCACTACAAATACTACTACAGTACATGTTAGCTCAGTTACTCTAAAACGTATTAAGTTATAGTCATGTTATGTTGACTCAGCTCATTTATCTCCAAATGTTGACTCCAACTTTCAGGCTCCAGTCAGTAGCACAACAATTAATGTGCTAAATGCACAAAATGTCCAAAATAAATCCTTTGCTTCAAACTGCCACTAAATCATGTATTAAGCAGAGAAAATCATCGAAGCCTGTGTACATTTTGCATTTTTTAAAACCTAAAATAATAATAATAATAATAATGTCATCACAATGTCAGCACTGTATGTTTCCATACAATGGCAAAATTAGTCTCTGCATTTAACCCATCCACCACCAGGTGGTGCAGTGGGCAGCTATTGAAAGCGCCCGGGGGGCATTTTGGGGTTGAGGTGTGCTGCCCAGAGACACCACGTGATATTCAGTGACTGGGGATCGAACCTGGGACTTTCGGGTCCCAAGCTGGCTGCCCTGCCTCTGCACCATCTCGGCCCCCTAAACACATTTAATGTGTGCTTAGCACAGGAAAAAAAAACGTTGTTTTTTCCTGAAGCAAGGCACATTACTGTTAGCTGGGAGCTTGATGAGAACTTCAGGAAGACAGTGAAGAAAGATGGAAGAAGACACATTTAAATAAATTCTGGTTGTAAAAGCCCAAAAAACTAACTGGATTGAAAGATATGTTAGTGGAGATTCTCGGTCATCCAGGTCATAGTCAATCTTTTTTTTTTTTCATTTACCCTTTATTTATACAGGTAATTTCATTGAGCCACGAGAACTCATTTTCAAGAGAGACCTGTTTAGGGAGCAGATGGTGGGGGTTAAGGGCCTTGCTCTGGGGCCCAGAGTGGGGAGAATGAGGGTGGAGGCAGGCGTGGGTGTTTCACCTTTTCCACCCACATTTTGATGTTGACGGTACCGGGAGGTGAACCTGCGACTTTCTGATTACAAGCCCATCTTCTAACCTCTGCGCCACCACTACCCCAGAAAAAGAATCAGAAAAAGTTTTAAAAACAATCTATTATGAATGTAGGATGAAGGACTACATTTCCATCCATCCTCTTTTACCCGCTTCTTCTTTTTCGGGTCGAGTGGCTACTGGAGCTTATATCCAGCAGTCACTGTGTGAGAGGTGGGGGCCTGGACCAGTCCATCACAGGGACACATAGAGACAAACAACCATTCACTCTCTCACTCAAACCTAGAGACAATTTAGAGTTACCAATCAGTCTAACATGCATGTTTTTGGTCTGTGGGAGGAAACTGGAGTACCTGGAGAACACACACACATGCACAGAGAGAACATCTAAACTCCACCCAGAAAGGCCCCAGGCCGGGACTCGATCCAACAACTTTCTCGCTGAGGCAGCAGATCTACCAACTGCGCCACCGTGCTGCCCATACTACATATCAACAACAAACTAACAAAGCATACCAAATAAGCTTTAGATAAATACTTTTAAAGTTCAACATTATAAAACCTTGTTGAGGTTTTTATTTACCAAAATAAGAGAGAAGAATATTTTAAAGAAATTTGTCCTGTCTTTAATGTTTATTCTTAGAATGACAATTGTTGTAAATGGTCCTCTATGTAAATACCAGAAGAAATGCTTGGCTGAAGATGAGAAAACATCCCTCTTTTACTTTTTTCTTTAAAAATAATAAATTAAATAAAAAAAACTCTGTATTTGTCTGCTAGCTGGGCCTTTTGGATACAGTGAAGTGGCCATGATACCAGCTGGAGCCACTCATATCAGAGTGACCGACAACAGCAGGAATTATCTGGGTAAGGTTCACACACACACACACACACGCACGCATGCACGCACGCACGCACGCACACACACACAAACACATATATTATTACATCCTTTCCCCAGAGACGAGGGTGTGGCTCAGCAGTCCCGTCTGGTTTCTTGACCCAGTGTGTTGTTTAATAACTAAGGGTATCTATTCTCATCCTTGTTTATGTGTCCTAAATAAAACCGTTCCTGAAATGGACCACAGTGTGGTTTAGAAATGAAGTCTGTATATGAGCTCAGGGGCAGGGCAGGCAGGTGGAAGGTGCTTGCTTTCATCTTATGTCATGGAAAATACCTCCAGCTGCCACTATCTGCCTCTGACCTTCCGCCTTTACTTTAGTTTTACTTTAGTTTGAACATAAAAACACAATCACTTATGTCTTTAAAAAGTATTTGACTTTTACCATTCCATCAACACCAAACCCTTCTACCTTTTAATTTCATGCAGCTCTGCAGAATGGTCACTCCCAGTTTGTAATCAATGGTAACTGGAAAATTAACGTTCCTGGTGAGTACAGTGTAGCTGGGACCAAGCTGCTGTACAAGCGCTCTGCAGACACCTGGGAAAGCTTTGAGGTGTCAGGACCCACACAAGAGGACCTACATCTACTGGTAAGACTCACTAGAGCTGCTTCTCCACAGACATGACTATAATCAGTTTGCATAGACTCAGTAACAGCCATTCCCTCTTCCTAGCGGAATTTTTTAATCGACTAACAACAAATCTAGTTACTTTTTATGGTGTGCTTGTAGACTTTTAGTGGCTGCACATAAAGGCACTCATCAGTTGTGTCACTGTCCTCAATGAACAGCAAAGGCTGCTGCTGCGTAGGCCCTAACTGTGGTCTGCCTGTAGTGATCTGGTCTGTTGGGCCAAGGTATAGTTTCCCAGAAACTTAACATAAGCAGGAAACAGGTTGAGAAGGGTGGCATCTTCTGCAGATGCTGCATGGGTATCAGCCCACGCATTCATCTTTACTCCTGCAGGCCCAGGCACAAAGGTCCAGTAGACTGCACAATCTGTATGATGCCTTTAGAAGACTTGAGTATTTTGATAGTAGATTTCTGGAGCCAATCTTGGTTAACACTGCCACAGACTCAGTGGCAAAAGTGAATGTGCTCCCTTCCAGACTGAGCTCAGGGTCAGATGAAGGCCCACTGAATTGCCTATAACTCCATACTTCTGATGTGGTTTACAAGGCAGTCTGCATCCTCTGCGATGGTGCAAACCAGATACCCCCCAGCCCACCTGGTTATTTTTGGGCTCAAAAGATCCATCTGTGGTTGGTGCCCTCAAGCTCAAGGAATAATTGATAAAAACGTACTTGAGCAACTCCCTCAAGCCACTTCCTGGCCTGCCTGTTAAAGGCAGGGATCCTCTTCATGAGTTCCTTTGGTATCTAGGTATGAGTGGCATCAACAGTGGGCTCTCTACTAAGTTGAACAGTGGCTTAAGCTGCCTTTGTTAGCCATGAGATTCTGCTGAGGTGTGCTTTGGAAGTTGTTTTGTAGGTCTTGGTCACAGACTATAGGACTGAGATGCCAAAGGGTCCACTACGGTTTTGAATAACTTTTCCCTCACTCGGCCATGAAAAGGGTGCTTAAGGTCTTGTAAGTTCTTGTAATGATGACTGCTTGTTATTGAGCCTGACACTGATTAATGCTGGAGATCACCCACTAGGTTTCTCAGCAGTTCACTGGGAGTGGACTTAGAGCAGTCTATGATGATGCTAAAGTTCTGCAGCTTCTCTAGTCGGTACATCTGATTCTGATGGACGCTGATCATTGGCAGGGATTAGTCATTAACCAACAGCTCAAGGGTCTTGAAGAATATTACAAAATGACATTCCTCAGCATTCCTCTCTGAAGCAGCTGGTAAACCACTGATTCCACTTTTAATCTGGGACAAGACTTTTTTTACTTGTGCAGTGATGTTTAGCTGGAATGAAATAACACACCTAAATGTTGCAAGAATATCAAAGATACCTATGTTGGATCTAGCATAGGTGGGGCAAGGAAATTCTCTCTCTTGAAGTTGTTGTAGAGAGTGCAAACAAGTGCTTCACATTTATCTCCATTGCAGCTCATTCTGTGGAAGCCACAGAAGTTATGAATACCTTCTTGGGTTGGCTGTGTCTGCAATAGCTTATATGGAGTTTTGCTTTGGACAGTGTGAGGATGTTGTCAGCAAATATAATGAGTCTGTATTCAGCATGGCTGAGTCTTACAAGTGGGAGTATGTATATGTTGAAAAGGACTGGAGATAGTGGTGATTCTTGGGAGTAACCAGTGTTAACATCTACCCAGTCAGATCACTAAATGTGGTACATCAGCATGCATCTCTTACTCAGTGTGGCCATTACCCATCTAATATAGCTGATGGATATCCCCAGATACAACGTGCCATCAGCCAGTGATGAAGTTGCTCAGAGTTGTAGACATTCTTGAGGTCAAGGCCCACAAGGAGTGTATTCTTCCTGTCTTCAAATCCTTGCCACACTTCAGCTTGCACTGACGCTGCATGGGCCCAGCTTTCCCCGCCTGCCGGTTTCATTGCATTTTCAAATTAATGTGCAAGTTTTGTTTTTGTTTAATCAGCTGCATCTGTGAAACAGAATTCATTTTGCCTGGACATAAAAATGTAGACGTCTAAAGTCCCAAAGCAGAGACAAACAAAACATACATATTTTCAGGCCTGGCTGCATATTTCTGAGGTCTTCTTATCTGCAGGTTCTGGCAACAGACAGAAACTCTGGGATCGAGTACGAATACTGGCTTCCACCAGACCAGTACGCCCTCCACCATGGGAGGAGGAGCCCACTGCGACAGGCTCCCCACTCTACCAGATACTTCCCCCAGAACCATCTAACAACTTCAACCACCCCCACCACTACCACCACCCGGCCTCCTCCTAACACCCCCAAACCACACTGGTGTAAGACTCTCAGCATATTTTTTAAATCATCAGACAATGTTTTTAGGTGTTTTCAGGTGCTCTTTAGTAATCTTTTAGCTGGCTGTCATGCACCTTTTGGTCTTTTGTTTAAGATTCATATTGAAATATTGACTCAAGTCCACAAAGACACATTTAAACTTGTTCATTTTGATCTTTGGTTTGTCATGAATTTTTTTGGACAAAGACATTTAATGTTAGAATGTATGTTGTTTTTGTTCACTTTTGTTGTTATTGAGGTTTAAATGCTCGAGTTGGTTTTAGGTGATCAATGTTAATCAAAAATGTTGAATCAAAGATACTGGATTTTTGTTGTTGTTTGTTTTAATATTTTTTGTGATTCTTGAAGACATTCTTAATTCTAAACAGTGGTGCCGAGCTCAAAGCAAGCTAATATGAGCTGTATAAAAGCTTGTATCGCTGCACCATTTAGTTTTGAACTGGATGTGTTTGTGCTGTAGATGGAAGGTGCTCAACTACAGCAAATACTTCATTTACTGGGTTACTTCAGTGAGCAGACAAGGACAAAGAACAATAACATTGCCTTGGAATAGAGCAGAACAAACATCTTTCATTATTATACCAGATCATTAATGGCAAGAATGTTTTATTCACCCATCTGAGCTGTCAACAATGCAACAAAAACAAATGTTGAAACAGATCAACTTTACACGTCGAGTATACATTTAAAAATGTGAGAATTAGGAATAGATTTAAATTACCAATATGTGTCCTAAACAATTCCTCCATTTTCTTTATCCGTCTTTCCTTTCCGGGTCACAGGGGGAGCTGGTGTCTGTCTCCAGTAGTCTCTGTATGAGACCATCTCCATCTCCAGTCCATCAATATGGAGACAAATGAGACAAACAGCTCTCTCATTCATACTTAGAGTCAATTTAGAGTTACCAATGGACCCAACATGGAGGTTTTTAATCTGTAGAAGGAAACCAGAGTACCTGGAGAAACCCACAGGTGCAGAAAGGCCCCAGCCTGGAGACAGACCTGCAACCTTCTTGAGTAAATCATTTACCCTGATACCCTTTAAACGTAGTGAGGAAAATCTTTCATCAAGCTGCCTCTCTCTTGAAACTCACCTGAAAGTATTCATTATGTCCACATAGTTGACTCCCAGTCAGTGGTGGGTTTCTGTGGCACCAAGGAGAAGTTCCACATTGTCCTCGTTTGGTAAAAACAAGGTGAATTTTGCCATTCATCTTTTTGTTGTTCACGTTCAGGTTGAAAAACATTTATTATCACCAAGGGGCAATTTGTTTCACAGTCAGTAAGCACACAAAACATTCATACTAGACAAGACATTAAGACGTTAAAATAACAGTACAGAAATCATCACTGTTTGTTGAGAAGCCTGATCTCTAAAGGGATAAATGAGTTTTTCAGTCTGCTCGTCGTACATCTGGTCAACAGATACCTACATCCAGATAGAAGCAACCTAACTCACCATGGAGTGGGTGATCAGGATCTGCCAGAATCAGCCTGGCCTTGCTCACTGAGCTCGTATTCTGACAATCCCAAAGAGTGTGTTCCTGTTTTTGCATGTCAAAAGTACAAACCAACAGATGAAGGTGAAAGTTAAAAAGACTCAATAAAACATGAATAAAACATTCTCCTCAAAGTAGAATCAACGTTAAACCCACAGAGCTTCTGGCAAAAATACATTCTATGGTGGGCCTTCTTAAAAAGTGAGTTCACATGGGGGTCAAAGGTCAGTTTGTCATGAGAACAGTTCCCAGATATTTACATTGTTGCACCACCTCAACAGCTTCACCGTTAATGACGGTGATTTTAATGTTGTGTTTACAATTTGGACAGTCTGCTTCCTGCCTTGTTCCTTATTTATGGTGGGTTATTTATTTATTGTGATTGAATAATAGAACCGCATACAAGCAAGGAGAGTTTCTGTTATCTGTTTTCAAATTTGTAAAAACATTTCTAGAAATGTTGCTGTCTTTACAATGAGCTTTTTAAAAACCACAAAGACAGTGTTTCAATGTGGACAGACCTTTAAACTATTAATTTAAACTGAGGTCATTTAAAGAGCTATCTCTAACATGTAAGATACTCATTGTTCATAACATTTCTACAGACCTGCACTTAAAAAGATCTTATCAGTCCCTTTAAGAATAACATCTGCTGCAGGTTTACAATATGTACGGTTCCTCACTTAAAACAAAAAGTCTATTGAATGAGGCACAGATTAGACAAAGTGCACAGATAAAGACCACCAGAGGTGATGAATACATGTGTCAACAGTCATTGACAAAATGTGGACACCTTTATGTATAAAGTCAATCTAACAAACATTATTACTCATTGATAAGGCTAATACAGAGATATTATATGTCTCCTCCAAAAAACCCTCAGCTGTGTTGATGTAGAGTAGCTGACTAGTTTGTTTTTAACCAAAGATTTTTATTAGTTACTGACAATCCTTGTGAAATCAAGAAGTGCAAACTGTAACATCCAAATCAGATTCATTCAAATTCTGTGACTGAAAATGTTGTTGTGATCACTGCAGATGATGGTATGATCCATCTGAAACAGACATTGTTTGACACAGTACACGTGTTTGCTCCTGGCTGCAGCAGGGGAATCCTTCTGGTTTATCTGTTTCTGGGAAGTGTAGAAAAAAATGTGGCAAATTTCTGTTTAATCTTTAAATGGGAGGAGTGGTGGCGCAGAGGTTAGAGAGGTGGGCCTGTGATCGGAAGACCGCCAGTTCATGCCCTGGTACCGACAATATCAAAAATGTGGGTGGGGTAGGTGAAGCACACACACTTGCCCCTACCCTCATTCGCCCCACTCTGGGCCCATGAGCAAGGCCCTTAATCAGCTTCCTAAACAGGTCTCTCTTGAAAATGAGTTCTCGTGGCTCAATGAGACTACCTGTATAAATAAAGGGTAAATGAAAAAATAAATAAAAAATCTTCTCAATTGCATCAAACTCTTCCCACAGCTCGAGGAGCTATGATTTCTACAAAGATGTATGAAGATAAATCAGACTCAAAAGTAGTCGAACAAGCTAATAATGAGACTTATTTGTTCGCGTATAATAAGATCCACAAGAATAGCACAATTTTTACAAATTCATACTACAAGATTCATAAATGCATGAAACATTTTTCAAATGTACATATTTCAATTTGCTCAAGTAGGAATATTCTGTGCATACAAATTGTCAAATACATGTGCACAAATCAGCTGCTGTGCACGAATCAGCTGCCAGTGAATGTGACTTATGAGACGTTTTTGCCATTATCCACCTTGTTGCTATCACAATCAGAATCTGACTCAGAATAAGCTTTATTATCATTGCACCGGTCCGGGATACAACAAGAACATGTACGTACAGCCGTCCGAGAGATGGATGGAGTGCACGAAGCTGCTGCTATAAAGCGCAGCCTTCTTATTCTTTTCAGAATACATTTTTTAGATAGGGCAGCACGGTGGCGCAACTGGTAGAGCTGCTGCCTCTCAGCGAGCAGGTCCCTGGTTCAAACCCCGGTCCAGGGGCCTTTCTGGGTGGAGTTTGCATGTTCTCTCCGTGCATGCGTGGGTTTTCTCCGGGTGCTCCGGTTTCCTCCCACAGTCCAAAAACATGCATGTTAGGCTGATTGGTAACTCTAAATTGTCCCTAGGTGTGAGTGAGAGAGTGAATGGTTGTTTGTCTCGTTTGTCTCTATGTGTCCCTGTGATGGACTTGCGACCCGTCCAGGGTGTACCCCGCCCCTCGCACAGTGATTGCTGGACATGGGCACCAGCGACCCCCGTGACCCAAAATGGAATAAACGGGTAAAGATAATGGATGGATGGGATTTTTTAGATAGAAAAAGGGACAAAGCCATGAGGAGAGGGTAAGGGCATTACAAAAAACGATCTCTTCACACCTTGTCCTATCAGAACGTGATTTAAGACATAAGAAAACTCTGCCACCAAGCACATTTATGAACATGTTACATATGCATTTACAACAAGGTGGTCCATGAATCCCTAACAGATAGTCCACTGTCCTGATAAAATGATGGTCAGCTGGCACAGTTCTAATAAAACTCCACAAAAGGCGGGGGTGGGGGGGTGTTGTGATAGACAAAGTTATTTCCTTAGTTTACACATTTCCCAGAAGAAATTGATAAGTCGGCCTGTTCCGATGTCAGCTGGGGAGAGATTCAGATAACCACAATTGTTGATTTATTCAGGCAGACTTTTTCTGTCAGGCTTGAGTCTGTACTGATAACTTTCCAACGAAGCCAAGATTCAACTTGTCTGCTGCTTCATAGAGAACTTTACTAATTGGCTTTTTTATGTATGTGAATGTTCCTGTAAAGTGCCCTGAGACAACTTTGTTGTGATTTGGCGCTATATAAATAAACTGAATTGAAAGGTCTGAAATGTCCAGATTAGGGTGCATTCCACTGGTCCGTGCTTACGAGCCTCTTCAAGATGGTTTTTCATGCTGACGAGTCCCAAAGCCGCAGGTGGCATGCGATTCAAATCACTTCAAACTTACAGTTTCGTTCATAAATCAGCTGATTTTGAGTCCTCCAGCACGAACCAGACCTTCACATAGACAGCAGTCTGTCGAGGTCCAAATTAGCTGCGGCCGTCTTCCTTGTATGTTGATAAACCAGGATCCAGACTATTCCAAAAACAGGAAACCTGTTATCATAAATCCAATTATCAGCAATTTCAGCATCCTCAGTCGATAACAGAGGTATCCCCCCCCCCCCCCCCAAGAGATATATCCAGCTGCACGTCTCGTCCGAGCAGAGGAGGGTTCTCCAGGACCCTGTCGCTTTGTTGAAAGAATTTGTAATATACGTCAAAAGTCCAGTTCGTCAAATCCAAAACAGTAGTTTCCATTTCGGGAGATGTGTAAAAAATAGGAGCTGCTCCGATACACTGACAGAGAGCAAAAAGCAGGAGAACAGGGAGCGGGAAGGAATGCGTGCGCCTCGTTAGAGAGCTAGTGAAGAAAAAAAAAATTTATGGGCGCGACTTCCACCAGAACCAGCGTTTGTTTCTGTGTGAACAGCACGAGCTAATGTAGTTTCTCTGAGGGTGTATTTAATTTAAACATGTGGGAACACCGCCTGTCAGAGCTCCAACAGAACAATATAATCATACTGCTGACAACGAGGGATGGAGGACGACCTGAAGAAGTGGCTGCAGATTACATCTACTAGCATATTTAGCTTCATCTAATAGCATATTTAGCTACTTCATTGGCTCTGTACTTCCGACGGGGAAGTATGGTGCACCGCGCATGGTGCGCATCGCATGGTACAGCTGGAACATCCACTCCACAGACTGGGTTTGCTGGCCTAAGGGCAACATCTCCTCTTCGTGTATTTTTTTATAAATAATCAAAATAAAAATGTGCAATGACTTTGAACTTTTAGGGGCGGAGTTGCCGGATCCAAACAAAGAGTTACTGGAACACAGCGGGTCAAAATGAGAGAGTTACTCGATCTTGTGGGATGTAGCAGGATCCGACTCAAATTAACCACCGGTTGTAGCCACTGATTTTGTTTGGTCTGGTTGTTCTGCAGCCGCGAACACAATAGGTACCTGAACTCAGCACAGCTATTTTAGTAAACTTTCTGGTTGTTAAATAAATGTAAACACAACACAAACAGAGTTTTATCTGCTGAACTGAATGTAAATGACTTTCAAATAAACTGCGGTTTGTGCTCTGCTACCATGGTTAGCCAATGATTACTGCTACTTCCTGTCTGACAGGTAGTTGTTCCCATAATCATTTAGACAGTAGAGCCCCCATGAATAAGATAGTTTCACAAAGGTAATGCTGTGTTCAAGGCTGGTATAAAGCTGGGACATCTGAGACTTACCAGATTTACTGAGTTATTGGGAAAAGACTCATTTCTAACTTAAACTTAATATAGATGTTTTGAGTTACTGTGCCAAGTTAGAAGTTAGTCTTTTTCCCAATAACTCAGTAAATCTGGTAAAGTTCAGATGTCCCAGCTTTTTACCAGCCTTGAACGCAGCATTTTCTTTGTGAATCTGGAGCGGTAAGAGTCTCAAAAGTCACATTCACAAGCAGCTGATCTGTGCGCTCGTGTTGACTGAACCATCTGTCGCAGGTGATTTGTGCACAATGTGCAGAATAGGCTATTCCTACTTGTGTAAAGTTACAGAAAAACTATACGCATTTATGAGTCTCGTAGTACGTATTTTTTAAACTTGTGAATCTTATTGTACGCAGACATATCTTGTACGCTTGTGTGAAATTTTCAGTTTCAGTCTGATTCCACTCATTGATGCAGTAAATCCAAATATTTAACAAACAACGCAACACTTTGATTATACATTTGTCTTTTTAAAACACACCCATTATATTACTTTAATCATTTGCTCTTACCAAAACAACATTTGCATCAAAATTGTTCATATATTGGTACTTAAAAAGTGTGGCTTCAAGGTCAAGTTCATTCTTCCATGAACTGTAGAGCCATAAAGGTTCCTGCTTTATTACAAGTAGTTTTGTGGAGCTGCTTTCTTTTTTTTATTTATTTTTTATCAAACTGTTGATTCAGTTCAAGGCACCAGCTGCATTCAAAGATTCAGAACGAGTCAGAAATCTTCAGTCACTTTTTTCAGTGAACTGTTAAAAAGACAGAAAAAAAGTTTGACACAGACTTGCTACTAATAGCAGACCAATACATCCAGAAAAAAGTGGTGTTTTTTTTCTTTCCTTTTCCTGTTTATTTATAATGAGGAAGCTGGAACCAGTATGCAGGGATGCCGGTCCCCTTTGGGCTTCAAATTCTGGGATCTCATAATGGGTCCAAGAGAGTTTGATCTCAACTGGGGGAAAAAAAAAAACATTGGTTGCTGTCAAAATAGAGGTAATGCAAAAGAAGCAGCCAGTTTTCTAAAATAAAAGTAGTGTTTGGATTTTATGTGCAATCAGATAAGGGAGCACTTAACTGATATCTTAGGAGGACACTGCCCATGAGCAATAGAATGAAGAACCAAATGTGGCCCCCCAGCCATAGAATGAAGGGCCACATGTGGCCCATGGACCATAGAATGAAGGGCCACATGTGACCCATGCACCATAGACTTTTCAATTCAATCCAGTTTATTTATATAGCGCCAAATCACAACAAAGTTGTCTCAGGGCACTTTACAGAAACATTCACAAACATAAAAGCCAATTAGTAAAGTTCTCTATCTAAGGAATCCAGCAGACAAGTTGAATCTTGGCTTCGTTGAGTCTCCCATCCTGAGCAAGCACAGTGGCAACAGTGGAAAGGAAAAAACCCCTTTTAACAGGAAGAAACCTCCAGCAGAACCAGGCTCAGGACAAGCAGCCATCTGCTTTGACCGGCTGGTTTGAGAGGACAGGAAGGAGAGACAGACGAACACAGAATGATAGGTCCAGGTGTATCTGAAAGACAAAAAAAAAAAAAACACATGTTAAGGATAGAAAAAATAATTACAAATACAAAACAGGTTGAGCAGAGTAAGTAAAGACAGCAGCAGAGTGAACATTGTGGTCAGTTTGTCCTCCAGCAGTCTAAGTCTATAGCAGCATAACTAAGGGACAGCTCAGGAAACCCAAGCCGACTCTAACTATAGGATTTATCAAAAAGGAAAGTCTTAAGCCTAATTTTAAAACTACATAATGTGTCAGCCTCACGGACAGAAACTGGAAATTGTTTCCACAAGGGAGGAGCCTGATAAATGAAAGATCTGCCTCCCATTCTGTTTTTGTAATTTCTAGGAACCACAAGTAAACCTGCAGCCTGAGAGCGAAATGCTCTGTTAGGAAAATATGGAACATATGAATGAAGGGCCACATGTGGCCCACGGAACATAGAATGAAGAACCAGATGTGGCCCCCTAGCCATAGAATGAAGAGCCGCATATGGCCATAGAATGAAGGGCTGCATGTGGCCCACGGATCATAGAATGAAGGGCCACATTTGGCCCATGCACCATAGAATTAAAAAAACAGATGTAGCCTATGCACCATAGAAAGAAGGGCCTCCATGGACCATAGAATAAGGGTCACATGTGGCCCATGCACCATAGAATCAAGGGTCACATGTGGCCCATGGACCATAGAAT